ATTAACGTAATTTGTTGAATGGTATTCATAAATTATGAAACCCACTGAACACAATAACAAACATGACCTTGAATTACGTCCTAAACTGGTTCAAATTTGCCCACCAGGTGCCGTATCGGAATCTTCACCTTGCCAATTGAACACTACAGGAAAAATAAAGAGATATTGTATATCATTATGAACAATCGGAGAAAAAATACATTTTACTTGGTCGGGCAAGCACAAACGGCTCGCAACTTCTCCATATTTTTGACCCGTCTGTCTTGCTCGGTGGTTGGGATCGGAAGAGAAGTCCATCTCATCGCTCTCGGTTCTGACGTTATGTCTAGATGCCCGTAAGTGGTGAATAAAAATGTATAATATTGAGTTGACTATGCAGGAACTATAACAATACAATATAGGTGTTGGTAGATGGAACATTAGAAGTATCTGAAGAACCGAACGACAGATCATTACAAAAATTTGTGGGCTTGGATAATCAAGCATTTTCTATCTGTCTTAAATAATCCCACCAATACAGTGTTGCTGCTTTTATCAGAAATTAGTAGCTACTTTGTTATTTCAAATGGAACACTCCATATATTATGTAATTTTTGGAATCCTTATGAGATTCCTCATAAATTTACCTGATTATTTTTTTCACCTGTCAAAATGCGACATTTTCGTTTTCAACATAGTGGCAATTAGACCAGCGTTGCTAAGGAAACCTTCTGAAGTAATATCTGTCAATTTAATTCTGTGATTTGCTTTAAATATCGAGAACTTGGTGGTTGTTTGAAAATGTAAGAAACCGCTTAGATATTCAATACTGAAAAAGACAGGAGACGGTGTTATTGCCTTATTTTTCGGATCTGGCACAACAACACAAGCCTTCAATTGTTCACAGAGAAGTGAACATAAACGGCATATAACGTCTGAATCATTCGAGATCGGATTTGGTGGGTAGCAAGTATACCAAATTGCTCATTATTTGACAAAACAATTTTTGTTGTATCTTTTCTATCTTTTGAATTTTAAATGGGACACCCTGTATTTTATTCCATAATCGGTTAGGGCTTATCATAACGAATTCAACGATACCAAGTTTAATAGGGAAATCTCAAACGATTATTAAGAATAGATTCACGTTCGAATTTTCTATATGCTCAATTAGTGTGACAGGGAAAAAGATTTTGATATTGTGAAGTCACACCCATTGAACAAATGGAAATTTCGAACGCAAATATCTTCATAATCATTAGAAATAACCCTATCAAACACTGTTTCATTGAATTCGTCATAATAATCCCTAACCAATTATGGTGTCACATTTTTAACTTTTTTCCTGTCAAAGAATCATATAGCCCTTTTCTTATAAAATTTTTGACGAAAATAACAAAAACCAACCATGAATCATTTTTCGATAACATTTTCAGTTTTTGTAGTTCTCAGCAATTTCCCTCAGCGCCCTAGAAGCTTAAGTAACATGCTTCAATATAGAACATTGTAAATATTTCGAAAACGATTACCTTCAACGTTATTGAGGAAGTGTACCCTTTTTACTTGATAAAGGTTCAGGAATAAGGTTTATTTCTTGAAAAGAAAAATATTTCCACACCCAGTATCTCCGAAACAAAGCATTTCTGGACACAAGTTCATATAGACTTTTTTTTTAATTGTCTCAAAAATTTTTCATTCAAATATTTTAACATACTTATGTTATACCTAGTCAGCAAATAATGTATCATGGCAAAGTTCCTACAATCACTTATTATACAGAACATCGTATTATTTTAATGATAGATAGATATTATTCAATTGTTCTTTGAAACCGGAGCCTAATCCTTAAATTAGGGTGATTGCCTATATATTTCACGCAACACTCGACATCTCGTAAACTAATCAAGGTATTGAAAACTTCAGGCAACATCTTGAATCATATGTTGTTATATTTCAAATAGTGCCCTTCAAACATTATATCCTCATTTGATATAAAGGGGGATATATTCTATAGATAAATGAATAAATAGATAGATAGACATATACAACCTGTTGGTGAGAGATATAATTCCCATATCACTGATACGATTGATTTTTTTTGAAGTTTCAAGATTAGAGTTTATACAAGTATACTTCTCCTATACATTTCAATTTGCATTTCAATACTGAACATATTGGTAAGTTATATTTTTACATCATAATACATCATAGTATTTATCCGATTTGAGAAAGAATGTCAATTCTCAATTTCAAGGATTTTTATTTTTCATGCTCTCCTTTTGGATGTACAACAGATATAATTCAATGTTCGACGTCGCGAATAGCCAGGAAAGTAGTTGTTTTCTGTTGAATATTCAGAATGACATATACATATTTTTATCGGAAGGATAGTGCGAATTCTCAACTTCAGAAGAATTTGTTTTTAAATTCTTTTTCTACTCACATAACTAAAATGGCATTTAGCGTACGAATATGTACCACGCTAAATTATCGATTAATCACGGATTGGTGATATGTGATTTATTCAAAAAATTGAACTCGTTACCATGGCAACACAATTTCTTAAACACATTACGATGGCAACAGAGTTTTTTAAACATACCCAGTCGTTCAAGTCCTGTCCGGCCAGTCAATTGTAGTAACTGTCATTTGGCCATTTTGTTGCAATCAAAACTATTCAAACAATTTCTGTTTGCATCAGCATTCCTCATTAAAAATGTATGCGAAATATAGACGAAAGTGAAATCGAAGAGAATGTTTTAGGTAGGTACTTCCATATTTCCAAGAACTCTAGGTGAAAGTGAAGTTCTTATCTTTGTGGGAAATTTATTCTACGCTAAGCATGACAATGAACATAAAACACAATTAATGTGAAAAAAATTATGCAATCCGAATATGGATACAATAAACCTAATAAATCAAAAATTTTGACACATCAGCGAAACGAATCGAAGAGTTTTTATCTACTACGTCAGATGGAATCTTATTCACAAAGGTCAGTAAACAAGCCATTTCAATAGAAATGCATGTACTTATTCTATGGACTGGACGCACATCTACAACCAATATACGTGTCTCGTTGGTTGCATGCAGTTGCATAGTATCATGTATTATGTTCTCAATTCCCATTTTCTTCGAATAATCTTGTAGGTTAGCAGGTAAGTTAATTTAATTTTCGGAATTATGGGATCTTGTCGAAGAGTGGAATTATGAGTTTGTAGGAAAAGTATGGTATGTAACGCGTTTATAAACTCTTCTAGACACTCTTTTATTAACTATGATAGCCCAGTATTAGGGTTGAGTGGAAGAGCAGCTGTCGATTTATCGGCGAGTTGAACTCTGCCTCTTGTTTCATTGAGACAATAAAAGCACTTATTATTATTAAATACTTGCTCCGCTCTGCTGCGAAATTATTTAAGTTTTTGTCATGAAATCATCTTGATTTGATTTGCAACAATATTGGCATTATACAATGCAGTTTCGAGGTTGTATTCAGAAATCTTCATGGTTGTGTCGTCCTCATACATTATATTGTGTGCCTACGTGCATGTTGAAAATATGTCATTCGCAAAAATAATGAACGTTCAGAGTGTTTTCTTTAGATTTAGTATTTTCTAGCATTACTATTTGTTTGCGATGTTGAAGATATGAAATTATCCAATTCAATCGTGTTCCTCGAACACTAATGTGGTACAACTCTTCAAAAAGGATATAGTGGTCTACTTTATCGAATGCTTTACTTGGATCAAAAAATAGTGTGACCAAAGTCCTTTTCAAGTTCAAAGAATCATAAATATGCGATTACAGCTCCGCAATGGCAGTGTTCGTTGATTTATGTTCAACAGAGACACCCTCGAGATAGATAGATAGATAATTTATTGATCTTTTAGGTGTACAGATGTGATACAAATAAGACAAGTCAAGCTTAAAAAAAAAGAGGTACAGATAAAAACCTTAAGTATTAGAAACATATTAAAAAGTTGCACAAATACCGACATATTGAAAAAAAAATATTTAAAAAATATACATATATGTAAATTGCCTACTTGATAATTAAAAATACACAAGATAGATAGTATCATTATTGAGCACCAGAACTCAGGGCAGCCATAAATTGTTCTATGGAGTAGAGGGCATTCGAAATTAAGAAATCTTCCAAATGTTTTTTGAAGGTGTATGTATTAAGATTTTTTAAACATACAGGGAGTACATTGTAGAGATTCACATCCAGAGAATTTTTGCTAGATTTATGCAATCTGAATCTGATTGGCCTGATCAATTGACAGCTCCTGGTAGGATACTCGTGAAAGTCAGAATTTTTTCCGTAATCTTCTTTATTTTTATGAATATCCAACAAAAGTTGGTATAGGTAAATAGATGGTAGCGTCATGATTTTTAGGGATTTAAAGAATGGTTTACATGAATCCGCGTAGCCAGCACCAGCGATAATTCTTGTAGCTTACTTTTGAAGAATAAATATTTCAATGGCTTTTGTGCTATTGTCCCATAAAATTGTTTCATATGAAATTTGGGAGTGGAAGAATGCATAATATGCTGAAAGCTTTGCCTGAACGCCAATAATATTCTTCAGTTTTAGGAGAAGGAATATATATTTGGAGATTTTATTACTAAGCTGTTCTATGTGAACTTACCAGTTCAGTGTGTCATCTAGAAAAATGCCCAACAATTTGACTGAGTTCTTGTTAGAGACAATTGGAAAAAAATAGATTTGTTGAGTTTTATTCGAATTCAACATCAAATTGTTTCTTCTGAACCATATCTAAACTCTAACTTTTTTTTTTCAAGAAATTCGGAACAAAATCCGCGGCCGCAAACCCGGCAGGCCTTCCTTCTTCAACCGCGTCCACCTCAAGAGGCACGCCAACAAAGAACAGGAGCCGCATACCATTTCTCATCCCGCCCTCCCGGACTGCGCCGACGAAGAAGTGGAATCGATCGGCACCAACAGCAACTATTGCCTAAGGTCGATGGACTCACCCTGTTCGTCGCCCTTGTTGCATATGCACTCCATCGCCGGGAAGAAGAACAAGGGGGGGCAGTCGTACGATATCGATAATATCGTGATACCGTACAGTGTGGCGGCCTCCACTCGGGTGGAAAAGTTGCAGTACAAGGAAATTTTGACACCCAAGTAAGTGATGCGACTTCAGACTAAAGGTGGATTTATGCAGCATCATTCAACAGGTAGCAATTACAAGTTGAACCTCTAGTTTTCAATGAAGGTGTTTTTGCATACATTCAACAATTATCAAGTAACAAATAAGAAGTTGGCCAACTTTTAACTTTCTTACTTCAATTGAACCAGGTTTTCTTCTAAACAATCGCACTCAAAAAAATAATTATGAATGAAATTAACCCAGTCTCTTTCAGATCAGAAAACATTTTGAAATTTGAAATTGTATCTCCTTATGTAAATTGTAAACAACGAATTTGTAAGGTTATGAATGACTTTGATAGCCTTGATTTAGGGCAAGTGCGCATTCATTAATTGTTAATTTGGTTTACATAAATGTCAATATTCTCATCACTTTTTAATTGATAATTGTTAGTTGATGAATGTTACTTGATAATTATTGTTAAATGTTGCTGCATGAATCCACCTTAAATAACAAATATTAGAAAGTAGAAGCGAACATTGATCAAGTAGCTATTTACATATATATGTATATAATATTTCTTTATGTGTACCATACAACTATGTCATGTATAATAACCTATTTGTCAACGACATAGGCTCATCCAGACAGAATTGCAAATTCCTAATGTTCGCTGATGACTTGAAAATAAATAGGCAAATAACATCTACTCATGACATTTTTTTATCGCTTGGAGCGCACGAAAGGGAATCCCTATAATGTTCAAAGAACATCATGCGTTCCTAGGGAGGATAGGGATAGGAGGTAGGTATTGGAATTTTTTTTGAACTTCTGGAGATTATATGTTGTTGGAAATACTTCCTCAGGCAATGAATTCCAGAGCCTACCCGTTCTATGGATGAAGGAGTTTTGATAAAGTGCTGTTCAACACCTTTCGAGGTTGACAACAAAAGGATGTGCTGACTGGGCTTGTCTAGTTCGTCTGACTGGTATTGCTAGTGAAGGGATGATAGCAGAGATTTCCGAAGAACATTTCCCGTAGAAGTATCGATAGTAAAGTGAAAGGTCGCCGACCTTTCTTCGGTGTTCCAATGATGTCAAAGAGTGAGTGAGTGTGGCGTCACCCACCAGGCGAATGGCTCTTCTCTGGATGGAATCTAAGAGCATCAGCGTATGTTTTGGTGCTGAACTCCATATGTGGGAACAGTATTCTAGAACAGGCCGTATCTGCGCTTTGTAGATCATGAGGAGCTGTTGAGGTGTAAAGTAGCTTTTCGCACGGAACAAGAATCCGAGTTTTTGTGAAGCAGCTTTTGCGATGGATCTGACATGATTATCCCATGAAAGAGTGTTGCTGATGGAAATACCGAGCATAGATATGGTGGGCTTGGTGGGGATGGTGGTGCCAGACATTACAATGTCGGGCATACTGAGTTCCGCCTTTCTAGAGAAAATACATGGTTTTGGTTCAACATGATATTAGCAAACTAATTGAATGGTGTAACATTTACTGCCTGTATCAAAATTTTGATAAATTCTGCAGCATTATCTTTTACAAAGATAATATTAAGTTCAAATCGAGCTACTATATGAGTAATGTTTCACTTTACTTTAAAATCGGTCACATCTATTAGAGACTTAGGAGTAATCTTCGATAACCACCTTCTCTTCAACGAACATATTGACAATATCGTCCTTTAAGCTAGGAAAATGCTTGGTTTTACTCTTCATAATAGTAGCGACTTTTCACCAACAATAGTTGAATATATTTACCGTTGTTTGGTATGATCACATCTTGAATATGCATCCAATGTCTGGTCACCACAGTACAATATACATATTGCTGGAATTGTATCAGTCCACCCTACAGAATATGAATCTTTCAACTCTCTAGAGACGCAGAACACATACTGCAGGGAGATTCTATTTCACGAATCGAGTCGAATCGGCCATCTTGTCAATCTATCCTTATCTATCATCTATCTATCATTATCTATCATCGAATGTTTCTTTTCATATTTATCCCAATTCGAGGTTAGATCATCTCATTAATGTAAAAGCACAGTTTTGAAAGTATAGAATAGGAAATGAATTCAACTTCGAGTTCATCATCTTATCGTGAAACAGAATCCCCCTGCTGATCTGTGTTCCATTTTTAAACTCATAAATGGGTACACTATATGATCAACTTGAATGTCCCACTGAGAACAATTGGCAATATGCAACACTTTCAAATTAAATTTCATGCTACAAATTATGGCTCTCAATGTCCTATATCCCGAAGTCTTAAGTATATTTGTACATTTCTCTTTTAGCTTGTACAGTTTAGGTAGATAAAATTAGAACTGAGTAGTCTTAGGCATTAGTTTATTTACCGATTTTCATGTATTATTAATGTAATTTTTTCAGTAATAGAGGTATCCGTAAATAAATGAATAAATGAATTCCGAAACGCCAAATTCGTATCAATGAATGGAATCGCGAATAGTGGGGATAACTATGCAGATTCATTGCCAGTAATTTGATATGTTTTATGTGTAGATATATTTTATATATCCATTAAATTGAGATTTCTATAAATGTGTGAATGTGGAAGTGTGAAGTTGCAGAACAAGGAGATTTTCACGCCCAAGTGAGTGATGGAGCACGCTATCACATGATTCTTATACATGAACAAATACAAAATCTTTATTTCCATCGACTGAAATACATCACTATAGAGATTGTCAAGGTCAGAAAAATATATAGAACTTGATACTAGAATAGAAAAAAATATAGTAGAATAAAATGGGACATAGCCAAATGACATTAGGCACATTAGACGTTTCTGGAGAACGTAACTTGGGATTATTTTGAAAATATGATGCCTTGGATAACTAATTGTGCTTAATCTACCTAAAATATTCTCAGCGCTGTGACTACCACTAATATTGAAAAGTAGCAACAACTTTGATTTTTCAGATGGGGCACCCTGTTTATTTTTCCATTCTCAGATTCTCGCTGAAAAGCGGATTTCATTGACCTATAACACTTGGGGGTCTAGCAGTGACAATTACAGAGATATAGGGTGTGAAAAATCGAGATTTTTTAACTTTAAGAGTTTTTTGTGTCGAAACTCTTCATAATTGAGAGGGTTAGAAAACACAATATCATCTCCACAACGTTCAATAATCGAAAGATTATTTAGGGGAACATATTTCGGACAGTCATGTGTTCACCATCAGCCTTATTCCTTACAAACCAAAGGTCCTATAATATAATACAAGTTAATCATGAAAAATGTATGAAATAGAGAATTTACTCACGTGGGAATGAAAAAAAAACACATTATGAAAAAACATTGAATAAAATTATTGTGCAAATAAGCACCGGTTAAAGGTCAGGTTAATTTTAAAGGAGCCCTGTGCCCCTATGAGGACGTACATTATCACGATTCAATGGCAAAACCCATTTTTGGAAAAACCGAAAAAACGGTGGAGTCAAATAATTAGTCAAAACAAACCTTCATCATCAGATGATAGAGTACAAGTGGCGTTTTTAGCAATCCACAAAACGTAAGTTCTGTGATGACAAGACACATATCACAGTGACAATGTCAACTGTCCGTAGATGAAGACTAGTGGACGATCAGAAGCACCACTCGACCTAAACCAATGAGTAGATACCTAGGTACATAAATTTGAATAAACATAAAGTGTAGTAGGGATCAAAGCAGGAAAAAGATTTCAAAACTGAAAGATGAAAATTATATTGCTATAAGTTGATTAATGAAAAACCAGAGAATTGAAAAAATTTTGGCAATCAAAATGAGTTTGTTCATTGAGTAAGATAACATTACAGTCGTTTAAGGATGCGTTAATTTCGAAAATTTCAAAAAGGTTGAGGAGAGCACCTTTTTGGCAAATATGTAAAATTTCCAGGTCGTTATTGGTATCAAAAGAATGTTGGTGGCTGAGGATATAATTTGCAAATTAACTTTTTGTGTTATATTCATCAATATGGGAGTTCACAGATTTCTCAATTATTTTCACATGTTCAAGTACTCTGGTATGAATCCGTCTACCACTCTGATCTATGTATTGAGCATTACAATCAGAGCAAGAGACTTTATAAACGCCTGATTTGTGAAGAGGGGAAATTTTGTCTTTGGTGTTGACCAAAGTGCGTGCGATTGAGTCCATGGTATGGTATGAGATGTTGATGTCTACACCAAAACGTTGAAAAATGTTTCTGATATCATATGAAACCTTACCAAGAAAGGGAATGGAGGCAAAGCGAGATTTAGCTTCTGTGACTGGTGTTAAATTTTGATTAAGAGTATTTGGTAATTGGTAAGGTATATGGGAAAACCGTCGTTATGGCCTATCTGTTTTATAGTATTCAATTCAATATTGAAATTCTCAAGGTTCATAGGTATGCTGAAAAGTCTGTCGAAGAGTGAATGAAAGGCAGCAAATTTGTGGGAAATGGGATGGCAAGAAGAAAAAGGAATAACTTGATCTGTGTGTGTGGGTTTTCTGTAGATTGAAAAATTAAAGGTTGAATTTTGAATATTTATGAGTAGGTCTAGAAAGGGTAGAGAATTATTCTGAGCAAGTTCCATGGTGAATTGAATAGATTGGTGAAGGGAGTTCAAAAATTCCAAATGAAGATTGACTTCCTGAATAGAACCGTCAAAGAGGACTAGGCAGTCATCGACATATCTATACCAAAAGCAAACCTTATGGAACAAATGAAATTCCTTCAGTCTATTTTCTAAGTCTTGTAGAAAAATTTCTGCTAGGAGAGGGGAAAGGTTGCTGCCCATGGCCAAACCAGAAAGTTGTGCATATAAAGACTGATCAAATTGGAAAAAATTCTGTTTCAAAACTATATCTAACAGAGCATAAGTTTAAGCAATGGTGAGTGGGGATCCCTGATTCAAATAGTAGGCTGCGAACTAATCTGATACAATCCTCTGGAGGGACACTGGGGAAGAGATTTACTACATCAAAAGGCAATAAGATAGCATTGGGAGGAATATTACAATTTTAGATTTTATTGGTAAGGTCAATATAAATATTTGTGGTCATAGGAAAAATAGTGTTCAAAACTCGTAGGAAATTGCGTTTCCTGCGCTCGTTTCCATTCCGAACTCGCCGCTCTGTGTCTTGTGCTACACGTCCAGTCGCGCGATCAGTGATGGGCAAAAGTGTGGAACCAAGTGAATATATCGGTAACTGTTTGTTAGATTTCTTTGATTTTTGTGCAGGGTGATTTCAAAACACGGCGGATTCGAAAATGTTATTGCCAATGTTGCCACGTTTCCAGATTTTCTGAAATTCTTGCCAACGTTACTATTTCAAATGGCACACCCTATATATTTTCATACAATTTTAAAGAAAATATTTCAGCAAATTTATTGATGTATAATTTATTATTTTTATTTTTGATAACAACAGAGATATCTCAAAAAATATTGAGGGACGATCGCACAGTAGTCAAAGTGTGTGATCTTCGTCTTATGTGTGCCAATTCGATCCCAGCCGGCGCTGGATTTCGCTAAAGACATGTCATGTAGTAGCAGTGACAGTAGTTGTCACAATACTATAGTAGGTATTTTTTAAATGTGAATGCAAAATGCCTGAATTAAATGAAAGTGAAAGAATATAAATACTAATGATGATTGGCTTTGGGGACAGGAGAAGAACGCATCAAGAAGTTTGTGATTTTTTCAATGATATTCATCCAAATCGACGAATATCACGTTCGCAAATAACAAAAACTTTGATAAGATATAATACAAGAGGTACAGTCGGAAATCTACCAAAACGTGGACGATCAAAAAATGCCACAAATGAAGATGTAGCTCTGAATATTGCAATATCTTTAGAGGAAAATCCTAATTCATCTCCCACTGATCTAGCTAATATGTATGGAATAAGCCGTCGTTCAGTAGGAAGAATATTGAAACGACAAAAATATCATCCATACAAAATTCGCCTTGTTCAAGAACTCTCCGACGATGATTTTGACAGACGGTTACAGTTTTGTGAAACAATGATGGCTATTTGCAACAATGATGATAACTTCTTAAAAAATGTGGTGTTTTCAGACGAGGCTACATTTTGTTTGAATGGTACAGTTAATAGACAAAATTGCCGTTACTGGTCGCAAACTAATCCTCACTGGGTACCAAGACGCGCATACGCAACACCCTCGAAAACTGAACGTTTGGGCCGGTATTTACAATAACAGGATTGTGAGGCCTTTCTTTTTAGAAGACACTTTAAATGCAGACAGATACTTAAATATGTTGAATACACAAGTGATCCCGGCGCTGGAAAAAAATTAACAACTACCAAATAATAGACGGGGCACCTCCCCATTACGCTCGCATTGTTCGAGATCTCTTAGACAGGACATTTCGTAATAGATGGATTGGAAGAAGAGGTACGATTGAATGGCCTGCGCGATCCCCCGATTTAACTACGTTAGACTATTTCCTATGGGGTTATTTGAAATCCAAAGTTTATTTTAACCGACCAAATAGCTTGGCAGAATTAGCTGAACGAATAACCGAAGAGATTCAAAGAATTCAACCAGGAGTTATTGCTAATGTTACAAGGGAATTTACAAACAGACTAGCCTACTGTCAAGAAGTAAACGGCGCTCAGTTTGAACATCTGATAAAATGAGTTCATTTTCACTCGATGCTTCTCTTTTTTTATTTTACTAATTTGTATTGATTTAATTCTGGTTACTATGTGGTTGGTACGATTTTTTTATTATCCCGGTTTGCTTTGGAATAAAAAATATCGTACTTCATATTTTTAAATTGAATTTGTCAAATGTCGGTAGTGAGAGTTTTTAATAAGGAGAATACATCAGCTTTAGTTAGTTTCGATCATTTGGTTACTTCCTTAGTTATTTTTTGAGATATCTCTGTTGTTATTGAAAATAAAAATAATAAATTATACATCAATAAATTTGCTGAAATATTTTCTTTAAAATTTTATAAAAATATATAGGATGTACCATTTGAAATAGTAAAGTTGGCAAGAATTTCAGAAAATCTGGAAACGTGGCAACATTGGCAATAACATTTTCGAATCCGCCGTGTTTTGAAATCACCCTGTACAAAAATTCAAAAAAATCTAACAAACAGTTACCGAGATATTCACTTGGTTCCACACTTTTGCCCATCACTGTATATCACTTTCCACACTAGTTATGTAATATACCTACTATATCAATTTTGGTTGTCATGCTTTGTTATCGTTTGTGAAGTTTTTCACTTCATGCTTGATATGATTGTCAATTGTTACATATAAGATAGGTCAAGAGAACCAAGATAGATGTCATTCACAGGTAAATCTAATTATGATAGTTATATTTAAACAAGGTTTCATCGAAGAGGAGCAGTTTTATCAAAGGTAATACCACGAGTGCTTCAAATATTATCGATAAGTTCTTTAATTTTATACGAAAACTTTTTTATTTGGCATAAATAATGAAAACAAACCGATTGATTAAATCACGAGCCCATAGGACGAGTGGTTTTATGTAATTCGGTTTTTTAAATGATTTCGCCTCAAATAAAAAAGTATTGGCATAGCAAGTCCGATAACTTTCAGTAAACAAAAGATATCGCTGCGATACAGAAAACTGTGAAAATACCGAATTATTGCTATTGGTTAAAATCGCTAAAATGTCCGTTATCGGACATATGAAATTTTATTTGACAAGTATCAGTTGATGATTTTGTATATTTGCTTTAATATAATTAAGTAACTTAGCAATAGCTTTCTGCAGTCCTTTGTGCAAAATAATAATTGTAATAATGCTTGCATTACAGGTGGAGAATTGCTGAAACTGATTGTAACATAGCAGGGTATGACAGTATAAACAATGGAGCTGCCAAAGACTTTGATCAGGATAGTGATGTGAGTGATTTCATTTGTATTCTTTGTCCTTCATTCTTTCCACATGTTATAAAGGAACACAAATAATTCTTAGATTTATAAAAAATAAATTCTTACATGGAAACAATTAACTTAAATATCATCAAAAATTCTTCCATGTGTTTTTAAAATTGATGGATGAGCAAATTTTGAATTCCCGCGAAAACGGATAATATTTGGCGTCAACCTTGCCTAATTCTTCAACCTACCAACCTACAATATACCGAAGAATGGCCAAAAGATATCTGCACAGGATATTAACTCATGTCGATATCTTTCGTTCTTAACTAACTGAAATATTTTACTTGAACTGAATTGAATCAACATCTATTCTATCGAATTTATCTTTTATAAAACACATGTTAACTGATTCAGTTCAGTTCTAGTGAAATATTCCAGTTAGTTCAGATTGAAAGAATATCACTATAGTGTGTCCCTCAAGTCATTAAAATTAACGTGTCTAGCATGTTTTCACATATTTATTCATTCAAGAGAAAATTCATAGTGGTGCGCATCAAGATATTATCTTTCATGAATGTCTGACAGATGAATGTCACATGCAGTTGAAGATTATCGCTGCGGCTCTGCTGTGTTCGGAAAGTTGAGCACCATCCTTGTAATAGTACAAGGATGATTTCAATTTTTTTTTAGATCAACATGTACTCAATACTATCCACATGTGTTACACGACCAACTATGATCAATGAAATATCATCAGCATGTTGAAGAACCTTTGAATCACAATGTTTCAGTTTTCACGATTATTCCACTCATTTCAAAATACACCTTTTTGATTAGTTGGAACATCTGTGTTGATAATCGAAATTGATTGGAAATTGGATACCTACATGTTGTGTTTTCGATTTTGTTTTTCGCTTCCTCATTGGTAGTTTGATCAAATATAAAACAAAATCACTTTCATGAAGCAGTCTGGCATGGACATGGATGTCTTGATATTTTCATATTCAGGAATAAATAACACAACCCTAAACTTCAGACAAAATCGTGATGGGCACTCAATTTTAATTTGTATCGAAGAACTTTGGGCCAACTTTGTATGATCGGCATTTCAAAGAAACATTCTTAAAACCATCATCTCGTGTTTAGTGACATCGCTAACCTTAATTTGACCTTTGACCTCTCACCTCTGACCTAATAGTCCTAATAAATTCCAAACACAACTTGATAGCCTTCAATGTATCTTTAGTTGCATAACGCAACGACTGCAAATGAAAATTATTGTTTTATTCATTAAATAATGAGTGAAATGATCGTAACAAACCCAACTCGTTTTATTAATGATTATCGAAAGTTCTTTCTCTTTTTCAAAACAAGTCATGTTGCTTTAGGCAATCACACTAGTGCTACGCGCCAAGCAACATAGTTCGTTTCTCAAAATCGAATAATAATAATAATAAAGTTCATTCAAAATGTTGACCTATTATAAATTGAAAGAATACAATACATATTGGTATTGAATAAACAAAGAAAACCTTACGAAGTATAACTTGTTTTAAGGTATATAAAATAAAAATTATGGTTATCAAATCAATTGATTTATTCGAGTCAGAAGCAATTTATAAAGAAAAGACTATTATCCAGTTTTTTATTTTAGTTTTGTAGCAATAAAAGGATTTGACTTCAATATCACGCGGAATTTCATTGAGAGTACTACGAAATCAGCAAGAGAACCAGGAGAGAAGAGAGAGATTCCTTAGTCGTCTTACCTATTTATACTCCCCATCAGACCGAGGCTGATGAGGAGTATAGGAGTATAAATAGGGAAGATGGGTAAGGAGAGCTCAATCCTAGATTCTGATTGATCGGAATCCTCAACTAGGCGTGCAGGAGTACATGTTCTTGAACCCAAAAAGTAGTAGATTTTAGCTCCAGGTTGTGTCGTCTCCTGACGCGTAGCGGAGGGAGACAAAAAACTGTGAGCTAATAATTTTTTTCTGTGACAGAAAAAAGTACGAATCTATATTGAGAAGATATCTGTCAGGCCAATTCTGTTACTTGATTTTGAAAAACTGCGAAATTAGTGGTTGTTTAGTGTTATTGGCTTATTTTTCGGCTTATTTTTCGGAACTATAGTACAACAAAAGCCATCAACAGTGTATATTTATGTGAAAAGTACTCACTTTTTTCCCGTGAGAAGAAAGTAATTTATGAAAAGTGATTTTATAACCTGTCAACAGAGATTAAATTTCAAACTTTTTTCCCGTCACAGAAAAAACATAATTTTTAGCACTAAATGGGCACAAGAACATAATCTACTACTCTTGCTTAGGCTACTGAATGCATTTGACTGGAAAATAATCAATAACAAAAAAGTTATGACCACGTAAACATCCATCCATCATTCAACAGATAAATAATTCATCAAAATTTTATATCATGAGCAAAGGGTTGAGAAATATTGAATTTTTTAGGGTTGTTATGATGTATCGGAGTTTATTATCAGGAAAATGTTTTGATAGTCAAGAAATATTGAATAACTCAGCTCTATCAGGTTTTCGGGTTTCGAGCATCTGAACAAGTGAAATTCAACTAGAATCAGTCTCAGGTACTTAGATATTAATCAAAACCAGTCTAGTAATGAAGCTGGCTCAAAAACACTTTATTACAACTAAATCCTTCACCTGATGATGCCTTGTCAAGAAATTGTAGCAGCCTTGCCTATTCTCTTAGGGTGTCCCTAGACCAGTGGGACAGTTGAATATCTCCTGAACCAATAGGAATTTTCGAAATATTATAATTCCACATCATATCGCATTATGAGTGCTAACTTCAGGAATAACTATATTTTCTACGAGGGGCACAAGAAAGGCTCACATGATCGATCATCAATTTTTTCAAATTGAACACCCTGTAGTTTAATGCATTTTCATAATCTCCTTGAAGAGCTGAATTCAACGACCTAGCACACTTGGGCTCTAGCGGGAATGATTTCCGAGATATAGGGTGTGGAAAATCGAGATTTTTCATTTTTGGGAATTTTTTGCGTCAAAACTATTCATTATTGGTCAAAACGGCTTACATGTCCATATCTTAACTTTCGATTTACTATTAACTCGTATTTAATTGAAACAAATACAGGGTGGTGTGGAATTCCGACTGAAACTGAGAATTCTATACCACCCTGTATTTGTTTAATTTAAATACGAGTGAATAGTAAATCAAAAGTTAAGATATGGACATGTAAGCCATTTTGACCAATAATGAATAGTTTTGACACAAAAAATTCCCAAAAATGAAAAATCTCGATTTTCCACACCCTATATCTCGGAAATCATTCCCGCTAGACCCCAAGTGTGCTAGGTCGTTGAATTCAGCTCTTCAAGGAGAATATGAAAATGCAAAGAAATATAGGGTGTTCCATTTGAAAAAATTGATGTTCGATTTTGTGAGCCTTCCTTGCGCCCCTCGTATAAAATATAGTCATTCCTGAAGATAGCACTCATGATGCGATATGATGTGGAATTATAATATTTCGAAAATTCCTATTGGTGCAGAAGAAATTTAACTGTCCCACTGGTCTAGGGATAATAGGGTATAATAACAAAATGCCAAGTATCTTATTTATGTTATGAATCATGACTACCGTCTGCCTACTAACCATCCCAGTTGTCCTCGAAAAGTACGTGGAACTTTGGAGGCGGTGTCAAACTTATAGAGAAGCTGTCAGTGGAAGAAAATCAGTTGTGTCTTGTGTACCCCCACGTGTGCACTTGACGGTTAATGAATTTTCGTTTGCGCAGACCGAAGACACGTCCGAAGAGGCTGTCCTCGCCCGCCACGATCGCTCCGAATATGACGAAAAAAAGCGCTTCCTCAGCTACCTCAAAATGCCACCAGGCGGCCAGACCACCAGAGGGCGTTCGCATCGCCGCACCGACAGCCGCGCCGAATCCAGCGAGGCGAACACACCCGATCCGATGTCGCCCCATCCCCACAACCCTAACTCCGCCTCCTGTGCTGGCTCCGCCTCTGCTGCGTCTATCGACCAATCAGGCGAGGTGGGATCGCCGCCGGCCACACCCATGGCGGTGGAGGGGGAAGGAGGCGGGGCAACGTTACCGAGTGTCGCGGTGATGCGTAGAAGGACAATGTCGCAGTCGAGGTTCGCGAAGGAGAAGGAGGCTCGGGAGGAGAGTCGGTGCGCCACCCCTGATTTGATCGAGGTGAGTACACTGCAGTAATATTAATTGGCCGATAAAGTCACTGAACTATAACCCTACAAATGGAATGCTGATACAGCTACCTGCGCGTGAATTTTTTACGCCTCTTATGGAGATCTTAACCTCAAGGTTCTGCGCCGACGCAGTAGAACCACGATATGAAGAGAATGTCCGTGATTATCGAAATTGCTTACAACCGCAGACGTATGTCCCACTAGTATCCTTGTTGAACTTCGTTTCTGGCTCAGTAGATATTCTGTGAATGTTGGCGATGGTTTTTTAATAAACTATTCTGCCTGTCTCATACCTGGCGAGTTGTTCCACCATTCTTGAGATTTGTTTTGCATCCATGATTTGATACTAGTCTTTTGTATAGCTTTTGCAATACCACAGAAGGGTTCTGGGCCATTCAGAGCATTGTTTGCTCCTGCTCGGGCAAATGAGTCTGCCTCTTCATTGCCCTCGTACCCTGTAGTGCTGGTACCCATGCTAGAGTCAGTCTGTTCTGACTGCCCAGTTCATTTAGGGTTTCTATGCAGTCCCATACTAGTTTTGAGTTAACTTGCATAGATTTGACTGCTTTGATGGCCGCCTGGCTATCTGAGTAGATTGCAATGGTTTTGCCTTTAAACTCTTGCCTTATCAGTTCTTTCACGCAATGATGTATTGCAATAACTTCTGCCTGAAACACCGTCGCGTATTTACCTAAGCTCAGTGAGATTCTTGTCTTTGGCTTGTCCCCATAAATACCAGCTCCTGATCTTTCCTCGGTTTTGGAGCCGTTCGTATAGACAGCAATGTCTGCATTGATTGGAGGTCCTTCCTTCCATGCCTCTGTCCGTTATACTTTTTTGAAAGTTTTTTCAAAGGTATATTTTGGAATTATGCCATCCGTTGGCATTCCCATGATGGGGTCGCTTTCCAACTCTTCATATAGCTTTCTATAGTCTTTACCGTGCGCGTTGCTTATGGATGTTTGACCCCTTGACAACCTACTCACGACTGCTCTAGCTTCGCCTTGGATAAATATTGGTAGTGGTGGCAGGTTCAAGAGGACCTCTAAAGCGGCTGTTGGAGTGGTTTTCATTGCACCAGTGGCACTCAGGCAAGCTTGCCTTTAAATAGCACCACCGAACATATACTTTCAGACAAGAAGGGTCACTCTCGGCGGCACCGCGAATACCTCCCTTCCCGCCCCCCCTCCGATTCTGGGAGATCGGTTACCAAGCGTACATACCGATTGGCGCGCGAAAGCCTCGAGAGCGGTGAGTGCGGCGATTATTTTCTAGTATACCAATTGTCCGGTCACGTCGGTCTCAGTTCCCTTAACTTATTTTTTGATACTTCGTGTTTTTAATAAATAAACAAACATGCCTAGGCATTGTTCTGTAGACGGGTGCAATAGTAAATCAGGAATTGGCATATCATTTTTTCGGTGTCCCAAAAATGAACCTAGGTAAGAAAATTAATAAATTAATATTTTATTGTTGAAACAATATATGTAGATAGTTTCTTAACAAAAATGTTATAATTGATATATTCCAAGAGTTTAATACTCTATTATATTATATAGAATATTATTTTAACTCATAGAATTATTCTGTACTTCAACGAATTATCGTTTTTTTTTTTCAGATGTCAAATCTGGAAAAACGCCTTAGGGTTTGTTGGCACCCATAAATATGCAAATATATCCGCTGAGCAATGCTACAATAGGATTAGAATTTGCAATAAGCACTTTCCTGAAAATAGTATTATTATCAATAAATCAACTAATACTCATCATATTTTAGAAAATGCAGTTCCTTCTCTGAATTTGATGGGGAATAACATCGAACTCGGTGTAAACAGTAAGTTCATCTCAAAATACATAAGAATAATATAGGTAGTCATTAGAGCAAGAATCTGATATTTTTCGACGATTTGAAAACGAAAAAATATTATAATATATTTAAATCAGAAAATTATCGATGTGAAATCTTGAGTTTTTAACTGGTAGCTGTTGTACTTATTGTGACTATTTCACTTGAATTCTCACATAATCTATATGACCTATCACAAGCCAAAGACACCTTGTACCTATTACAGCGAAAACACAAGCCGTATTTCAATTCTGATTGGTCTATCAACGTTGATATTCTCAACGACGTAACCATGAATAAGGAAGCAAATTCAGTCAGTTTGACATAAAATAATTATAGCTGTAGATCTAAGAATGAATCGCTCATCCTTAGTTTATTTTTGCAAGTTAAAAAGTTCCAATATCAACGAATTTCATAAAATACATCCTGTTTGAGATACAGGGTGTAGAAAATACGATAAAAACATCTGATAAATTTTTTTAAATGAAAATGACCGTGGTAAAAAAATCTGAACTCAATCAAATTATCCCAGGTACCAATATGACAATATTATGACCTCATTCAGTGAAAAAATTCATAGAAGTCTACATTAACAGGTCAGAAACTCGAGTCAATAATATGCCTCATAACTCAGAAGTCATGTCAAAAAATCATTGACCAAGACCCATGTTGGTGTGTATGCCTCTCAGTATTTTCTCTCATGAATATCTGTCAGATAAATATCATATGCAGTCGAAATTTATCACATTTTACCTCAAAATAATATATATCATATATTTGGAAAAAATATTTTTTCAGGAAGTTACACTGATGTTTCTATTCAGACAGACTCGGATATGAAAAACGAATTAGGAGGTAATTCGAGCCAAATATATTAATAAATGAAGTTAATTAAAATACGCTTACATTTTCAGATAAATCTACTCAAACATCATTGGCTCTTTCTGCAAACACTCCAAGAAAAAGGGCATTGAAGCAGGACATACACACTTTAAAAAAAACTGCAAGGTCTGCAGAATGCCAGAAGAAATTAGAAACAGGAATTACAATCGAAGATGTGCATAAATTTCTAGAAGAAAATTATTCAGAACAATCTCACAAATTATTGAAATCGCAACTAAATTTGTTGAATAAAGCGCCGAAAGGATGTAGGTACACTAACGAGTACAAGCAATTTGCCTTAAGCGTTTATTTCTTAGGCCCTAAGGCGTACAAAAAATTTGCATCCATGTTCAGATTGCCGTCAAAGAGTACACTCACTCGTTTTACCAGAAGGTGGGCGATAAATCCAGGCTTTAACGATTTCATTTTTGGTTTACTCGAACTCAGGGCTCGAATTCTTAAAGAAAAAGAGAAAGATTGTATCATTTGCTTGGATGAGATATCGATAAAATCAAACTTGTTTTATGACATATCCAAGGACAAAATAGTAGGTTTTCATGAGGCATATAACACAAAGAGTATGAAAATAGCAAGTACAGCCTTAGTGGTAATGGTGCGTGGAATAGCCAGTAACTGGAAACAGTCAATTGCCTATTTTTTCTATAATTCAACGGCCCCTTCGAATGAAATAAAAGATATTCTGTTTGAAAGTGTCAGAAAGTTGAATGCAATAGGATTCAACGTAATGGGAGTAGTTTCAGATCAGGGGTCCAATTTTCGTAAATTGGTTAAAACACATCTCAAAGTATCTCCAGAAAATATTTTTTTTTCCGTAGATAACCTAAGACTTGTTTATATTTTTGATGTACCTCACCTACTGAAATCTACTAGGAATAATTTCTTCTCATACAATTTCCGATTATCAGAGGGAGTAACGAGATATTTGGAAACTTTTTATGTTAATGATAAATTGAAACAATATAGACTTTGTCCTAAATTAACCAACGAACATATTAATCCTAGTAACTTTCAAAAGATGAAGGTTAAATATGCATCGCAAGTTTTTAGTCATTCCGTTGCTGCGGCCCTTCATACTTACATTGACTTCAAGGTATTGCCGCTAGATGCAAGAATCACTGCAACATTCATTAAATCAATGAATGATTTATTTGATTTATTTAACTCCTGTCATTTGAATAATTTCAATGCATTCATGGGCACTGATAACCAATTCAAATTCCTTCAAGAAATTGAAACCTTGTTCGACAATTTGAAAGTTGTGAAGATAGTAGATAACAAAGAAATTTGTTTAAACAATAAAATGCATTTCATTTACGGATGGAAATTGACGATACACTCAATTAAAGCTTTGTGGGAAATGTTGAAACAAAAGGGGTATCAATTTTTACTGACCAGAAACCTCAATCAAGACTGTATCGAAATTTTTTTTGGACTTATTAGAAATTGTTGTGGTAATGCAAGGAACCCAACATCGATTCAGTTTTCTAGAGCCTTCAAAAAATTATTTACTTTCAAATTGTTCGACCAAGTTGACGGAGCAAACTGCATGAAAGACATAAATGATGTTCTTCTGAACATTACTCCAGATTTACTAGAAAACTCCAATAAATTAGTTATTCCATCACCGAACTCAAATAATTCCTTGAAGGTATTCACGAGCGACTATAGAAATCTTACCAGTACGGGTGGTAATGCTTTGGTGTATGTTACTGGCTATCTGTTGAAAAAATGCTTGTTGCAACATTCGTGTGATGTCTGCTTAGAATATAACAATCAAAACTCTCTGAAAAAAAAAAGCTACTCTATTCTTCGAGGCCAAAGCATATTCAGATAAAAAAAAATTCGGTGGTTTGACTTTACCTCATATAAATATTGTAGAATATATTATGCAATTGGAAAATATTTTCATTGAAAATTTTAATATCATTGGTAACCAAAATAATATTGGAGCAACGCTGAAAGAACTATTCAGTGTCGTTCAATTTTCACATCCGTGTTCAAATTTCCCTTTCAACTACTTTTTATCCCTGTACACAAGGGTTCGGCTGTATTTCACAGTGAAATTTGTGAATCGTGACATCAAAGATATCAAAACTGGAAAGCCTAATATGAAATTATCTATTCTACAAAATTTATAATTTTTCATGTTTGATGAACGGCATTGATTTTTTGTGTTCATATACCTGCTCATTTATTATTTTGAAGGCTCTGTTTCAGTTCTTTGAATTGTATTATTTGATTTCAAATTATAATTTATTTCACTTCTTTTTAATAAATTATTAGGCTATTGACATGAAAAACATTCATTTATGTTGTTCAACAAATTTACCCTTTTCCTAAATACTATTCTTCGAATAGCCCCCGTATTGATGATCACAACGCATGAACGCTGCGAACGAGGAACAAACCCTCGTAAATACATTTTACTCGCTAATTAGGTGGGCCGCGTCGTCAGGCGTTTGTGAGCGCTACTTCAAAAGACCCGCTCTGAGTGAGCCTTCTTGTCTGAAAGTATATGTTCGGTGATAGCACTGAGCCTTCGGATCACTCCAGCCTGTTGTGTCTTTGGCCACCAAACTACTGACCCATATGCTATCATAGGTCTGATGACGCTGATATAGAGCCATGTGGTCATTTTTGGTTGCAGTCCCCAATTTTTTCCGCACATTCGTCTGCGCAGATTGAAGGCTACTGTACTTTTTGAGCAATATTTCATAGGTGTTGATTCCATGTTAACTTATGGTCAAAGATGACTCCTAAGTATCTTGCCTCCAGGGCGAACGGAATTTATACCCCGTTGAGTACTGGTGGCTTTAATCCTTCCAGTACTCTCTTTTTCGTGAAATTCACTATAGAGGTTTTATGAGGGTTCACGGTGAGTTCCTCCTCTTTATACCACTTGTCAATTATGTTTAGAGCGGTTTGTGTGAGCTCCGAGACCGTACTTGCGAATCTACCTTTAGCGATAACCGCCAGGTCGTCGGCGTATCCTAAGCAATAATACCCTTTGGATGTTAGCCTTTTGATCAGTTCATCCATCAGAATGGCCCATAGTAGGGGTGCTAATACTCCTCCCTGTGGGCATCCCCTATCTGCTCTAGATGTCAGAGTTGTCTCGCCAATGGGCGTGTACACCTTAGTAGAACTTTTAACTCATGTAATCATGTATCATTCATCTCTGTCTGGAATAGGCTTGTTTCAGTATTAGGGTTTTGACGTCACATCATCGCCTCGTTTCCAGAGGTCCGAAAAATCAGGGATTTCAATAATTTTGTTTAAAACGTAGGGAACTCACAGCAAGAAACGGTTTGCGGTGGTGAGCTAGTTTGGGTGAGTTCTATCGAATTATGAAATACAAATTTTTTTGTGATGTAAGCCAATTGTTGATATGATAACCCTATTTTTCAAAGTGACATTTATCCACTGGCACAGGAGTAGTGGTACTCCTTTCCTTGCTAGGGCGTTGATTATAGAATTTGTTGGTGCGTTGTCGAAAGCACCTTCTATGTCTACGAATGTTTTGTTATAGCTATTTCTTTGTCCTCTATCGTCTGAAACACAGTGTATATTGATTTGTCATGAAGGTGCCGCCGTACGAGGCGCGGACCTTCCCCATCGACGACGCCACCTACTCCCAAATGCTCGACCACATGCCCGAGAATCACTCGCGGTGTCGGACGAACGCTCGATCCCAGGATGCGCGCGCCGTCTGTCCTACCGCAGACGAGCGCTTGTCCAGCTACGGCGCAGGCTCGGAGGAGCGGGCAGAGAGGGCCGGTTCGCCGGACAGCGAGTCGACGGAATCGGCCGTGGGGGATGGAGAGGTGGAGGAGGATGAGGAAGAAGAAGAGGAGGAAGAGGAGGAGGATCCCAATGATCCGGAGTGGATGGACGTGGAGCAGCGGGTCGGGAAGGATCGGTACAAGAGATAGGGGGGCCGTTAGCACGGTGAGTATTTTATTTGGCATTTGTTGTCGAGATTCTAGATTTTTTAACTTTCTATGCATGTGGAGGGGATACACAAAGTTTTAACATAATTAGAATGGGGTTGTACAGGGTGCGCCACTTGAAATAGAACCCCTCCTTAACTGTTTTGTTTTCGGAGATATGAAAAAATTTTGAATTAAAAAGTTGTTTGAAACGACCCAAACTTTTATTTCGTGAAGTTGTTTCATATACAGGGTCATTCGTTTTTCCAGAAAAAACATCAACTTTGATTTTTTCAATGAAAGTTGCATATTCGGATGAAGAATAATTGAGTTTTTGATGATCAAAGTTGACCAAAATACCGGTTTATGAATTCTCACTTTATATCATTGTTAAACATAGTGGGCTTTGAGAAAATATTCCATGGTGAAGTCAATAAACTACATATCATTATGTGGATAGATTTGGTATCACACTATAACAGTAACGCATGAGTAGATGCCAAAATAGCATCAAGAGTTCTTGACAACAAAACTTGAATGACTCTTTATAAACAATATTTATTGAATGAACTATATGAGATTGTGAATACACATTAGAGCAATCTACAACAAATTTTCGAAAATTCAGCCATTCTGGTAAATGCAGAGTTGGCACCTTGCTATTAAATTTTGGCGAACCCTTTCAAATAATATTGGATCATTATTCAATAATTGAATTTCTTCTGTTATTTTATTTTTCAAGAAGTCAGTATACGAAATATCATGTTTATAGATCTTGTCTTTCAGCGCTCCCCACAGAAAAAAATCACAAATTGGTCCTCGCATTCTAATTCAAGTGTCATAACTCTCATTGAGGTAGTTCGTGACTTCAATTCCATTGTGAGGAGGTGCACCATCCTGCTGCCATACCAATTGGTTTCGTCTATTCAAAGGGATTGCTTCATCAAGCAAGTTCTCAATATCACCTTGCAACATATCCAAATATTTTTGCCCCGTAAGACTGCCATCAATGAAGATGGGACCAATTATTTTAGTGTTATAAACACTGCACCAGGCATTTACACTTCTCCGGCCTTGTTTTTTAATCGGTTTCATTTCTCTCGGAATAACCGTAGCCCAGCTATGCTCATTTTTCCTATTAAACATTCCTGAAGTTATTCATTCCTTAGTAAAATTTTCATCGCGATTATGTCTTTCAATTATTTCATGACAAAATCGTAAACGATTTGGATGATCTTGAGGAAACAAATAATTCACTGGCATTACTTTGTATGGTTTCATATGATGCTTCTTCAAAACTCGTCTCACACTTGTGGTGGATATATTGAAGTAATTTGCAGCCATTCTTATCGAACGACTCGGGTCTTCAATGAAATAAAGTAATATATTTTCCTTTGTCTCTTCTATGAGTACCGTTTTTTGCCGATTCCTCTTCATATCACCCATATTACCACTATCTCGTCTGAACTTCTCGAAGATTCTCTTGAAGGTATTCAAAGATGGAAGCGGACGATCACCAAACCGATGCGCATATTCTCTACGAGCAGCGGTTGCATTTTTCCTGCAAGAAATATATATTTCCAAAATTTCGCATCTTTCATTCAAACTGTAACCCATTTTTTTTCCTATAGAAATCGAACGTTTTCAATTTCATAATAAACATGGAGCTCAAACAATTTATAAACATTATTTCAATTATCATTAGATGATATTACCTATGAAGTGAAGGTTCATAAAACGGTATTTTGGTAAACTTTGATCATCAATAACTCAATTATTTTTCATCCGAGTATGCAACTCATATATATTTTTTTTTTTGCAATTGCATTACCTCGTTGGTCCCAGCACTTGGACCAAACGCCCCATAAGTCGAAACTTGTGCGGGGTTAGGTAAGCAGACAAACACAAACATCCATGGCCTAACTAGGATTCAAACCTATGTCTCGGAGGGAGTCCCCATACGAACTCAGCGCCACCGAGCCGCCATATCTTTGGAATCAGAAAAAAAAAGCTCTATCAACATGTTGGAAAATATATAGGGTGTTCCATTGAAAAAATCACAGTTGATGTCCTTTCTGGAAAAACGAATGACCCTGTATATGAAACAACTTCACGAAATAAAAGTTTGGATCGTTTCAAACAACTTTTTTATCTAACATTTCTTCATATCTCCGAAAACAAAAGGGTTAAGGGAGGGTTCCAGTTTAAGAGGCGCACCCTGTACCTACACATTAGGGGAATTTACACCATGTACACTGTGACCAAGATGAGGAGATTTGGTTAAATGAGAGAAACGTTGCACAAGTGAAGGACCAACAAAATGATTGTCAAAAATCTCTGATATAACTTTACGTTTTCGAGTTATTTTCAAAAAACTGAATTTCCGGATTTTCAATTTTATTTTTTCTTGGCGTTGATAATGAAGTTATGACAAAACTGAAAAACATCTTCATGGCAGTTTTTGATGCTTTCGATTTTATGATCCAACATTTCATCTTTGAGCAACCATCAATCCTGCAAATCAGTTTTTTGGAAATAACTCAAAAACGAAAAGTCATCAAAGATTTTTCGAGGTCATTTTTCTCCCATTAAACCAAATCTGTATCTCGTAGTTTCCGAAATACCCATACTGGCCCTCCTCATCTTGGGCACAGTGGATATATTTTTTTTACTCACATAATAGGCGAGTTGACTTTCCTTTATTTATTTCTTAAATATAATCATCACTCAAATACCTTTCGATACTTATTTTTTTAGTAATTTTTCGGTTGGATTTTCAGAAAATCATCAATAATGTCACGGTAATTTTCAAACGGCTAGAAATTTACCGCCAGTTAAAACTGACGCCACGGTTTCGAAAGTAGGGGCAGACCATAGCACAGTTACCATATGTTGAAATAGAATTGGGAACTTCAGAAATATTAGTTATTCAATCATTCATAATAATCTCTCAATAGTATTGGATATATTCCTAATTAGCAATGAAAATTCAATTGTCTCAAAATGTGCCCATATGATTTGTGGCTTATTGCTCGTAATGAATTTGTGTACAGAATAATTATATTAATTCACACCAGAGGACATTTGAACGGGTGAACGTGACAACATGGCGCATGAATTGTGGGCGTGGTCTTGTCAGTTCTCGGCATTCAGCACAATATTGCCAAGTCCCCAACATTTACATGATATTTTGTTATATAGAATAAGAAATATTTGGGCATGTTGGTTGCTCGAAAAAAATCAAGAATGAACTATAATATCATGGGTTCCTCCTATTATGTTTCATTAAACGACAGGGCTCTCCCATCTTTTCGATAACTTGATTATGATTATAATTGGTGTCTTGGTAACCTTGCTTCATGAGTGGAAATCGAAAATGATCTGACCAATAACGAAACAGCATAAAAGCTGACGTCATCATTGATTCGACGTATCGCCAAAATGGCGGCAATGACGGTTAGTTTAAAAGGAGCTCTGAAATCCAACATTTTCAAACAACACATAGACTCATTATTTACATAAAAAAAGTGTGAGAAGTGTTGCAAAAATTAATTTAGGTTTCTAACAACACAGTACAGTAATTGAAGGAAAATAATTCATTATCAGTCAACTCGCCCATTGTAGTGCCATTTTCAAAAGAATATGTACTTTGCTAAATGATTGATTTATTATTACAGATTCACAATCTGTGATCAATTCATTTTAAACATGTGATTATGGTTTACTGTTTGATTTCAATGGTTTAATAAGTTATGAAAACACACCTGAAAGACTACAGATTGATCTGTCGATCTTGACATCAATGATGATATGAGAGATATCAACTTCCAAAATGAGTTCGTAGAAAAAGTTACTTTTTACCTTTATACCTTTTACCTTTATAAAAGTATGGTATGTAAAGTGTGTATAAACTCCTCTAGACGCTCGTTTATTGAGGACTCCTTACTAAGAGGACGTTTATATCACAATTATTTTGATCATTCCATGTATTGATAGTTTTTGATAGTCTCTCATTATTCAGAATCATCGCATTTATGTTTCTTCAATAATCAAAATAATCACCTCTCAAAAACCTAGCTCTCAACACAGTTGAAGAATTAATACTGGGTGGCCCATCGAAGACAATCCACGTTTTCTCTGTTGTGTTGCAATTAGGGCTAACGTGAGGTCAATATCAAAATGTTGCCGAATAGTCCTGAACGCTATGGCCTGTTTCATGGAATCTATTCGATAAAAATGATGTAGGGTATTTGAGCAAATAGAAAACCTCAACGAGAAAAAAAATTAAAGTCGTCTCCACAAATTTACTGGCGAAATGTGCAGTTAATTTGGCTTCATTACTCTTGATTGAGACATGTTTCGACCATTCAAATGATCATCATCAGTCATAGTACTGATAAAGTTGATCTACAAAGAAAAATTGTTTTTCGTAGATCAACTTTATTAGTACTATGACTGATGATGACTATTCGAATGGTCGAAACGTATCGAAAGTTGGTGCCCGTTACGCTTCAACTTTGAAATATGATAATTGCAGAAAAATATGTGTTCCCGGCAAATTGAAATCGACCTCTGTCCTAGCAATAATTCATTAATTGCAACACAACGGAGATCGTCCGCGATGGGTCACCTGGTATATCTTGATGACGTGACATACGGGTAAGCACCATTAGTGTTTTATTTCTCAACAACCAATGGAAATATTTTCAAATTCAATATACTCGAGTCATGAGGAACTGTACAGTGTGTCCAGTTTTCGATGCTTTTGTGGGATATCTCAGTTATCTTTGGAGATAGAACCTTGCGGGTTTCGCGGTCGTGTGCCACTTTTTTGTGAAACTCAAGATGGCCTAATCAGATTTTGCATAACTGTTTCCGTTTATGAGATACAGGGCGATTTTGAAAATTTATACTTTTTGGACCCCCTCTATATCTACGAAGTTTCTCAGCAAAAATGTCAAATTAAAATCTCATCCCATATAAAAGTTCACGCAGAATCCAGTGGCGCACTCAAATTTT